GCCAAGCCCCCGCCCACCTGCGAGAGGCAGCAGCGCCCTGAGCCCAGGCAGGGGACGTTTCAAGGGGTCAGAGGGGCGGGAGGTCCTGGCCGGGCCCAGCAACCTGGGTGGGGCACCCCAGGCATGCGGTGCTGCTGCAGGTCCAGGTCCCTTCTCTCGTCCGCAGCCAACGGCTGTCCCCCTGCGGGGATCGGGGCCAAGCTGCTGCCAGGAGGGACAGAGTCCGGCCCGGGTCCAACTTTCTCCTGCGTCCTCACGACCCTGGGCAAGCCCTCAGCCGGGATCCTCGGCCCTCGCCCAGACATTGAAGATGGGGCTAAATGGTGAGCTTTCAAGCTTCTTTCTTTTTGAGTCCCCACAGCTGTGCGGTGGTGTCTCTGCGTTGGCACCGGGTGCTTAGACCTGCTGTTGGCGGCCCTACGTGCAATCTGGGCCCCAGGGCGCCAGGGGCAGGTGGCGGAGGTGGCCTCCCGGCGCTCGGAGCCCCGTGGCTCGGTCACCCGGCCACCGGCCACCCTCCTGGCTCAAGGACAAGCCCCTCACGGATGCTCTCTTCCCTGCTCCTCCCCTGGCCCAGGCTGCCTTCCTCCTCCGTCCTCCCTCCTGTTACCCCGTCCTCAGCTTCCCGCTGGGAGGTCCCATCATCCAGCTCCATCCTCCCAGGAGTAGGCCTGGGACAGAACCGCTTACAACCTCAGGGGGAATGAATGCACGCTTGGCCTGAGAACCTTCCGGAATACTAACTGGAGCCTCTGTGAGCAGATGTGAGCAAAGGGAACTCTTTTCTTTCTTCTTCCACGTGGAGTCTCACCCCCAAAAGCCCCATTTCTGACCCATGCGCCAAGGCCCATGGAGGTGAGGGTGACTGTGCTGTGGGTCCCACCGTCCAGCCACCTCTGAGCCGGCTTCACTGAGCCTCGCTGGCTCCCTACGGCACTGTGGGGCCACCGCACACCCTGTAATCATCACTCCCAATCCTCGGTCCTAACAGCTCAGAGGACAGGGTTCTTCACCTGGATTAGCGGCCTCGGAGGTTTGGAGGAGCGAGGACTTCCGGGACTCCCAGTCTTCCCCAAGTGCTCCTCGGAGGGAGTCTACGCCCGTGGAGACAAGCTCCCAGCATCGGACAGCCACCCCGGGGGACACAGCGTTCTCTCCGACGGTCAGGGTGAGGTGCCCGAAGCACCTGGAGCAGCATTTCAGCATCAGAGACCGTCCGTCCCTCCATGCGGGTGAGTTCCGTCCGTGGCCCAGCCGTGCAGCAGCCTGCAGAGGAAAGCCGGGCCCCGAGGAACGTCCCAGGGCGTCCTGGCCGTGTGGACAGACCAGTACTTTTCCTCTCATCCTCAAGGAACGGTGCAGCGCTGCGCCTGAAGCTTTTATACACTGATTTATTCTTTCCAAATAATTGCCACCCTGTTTAGTGACAGGTTACGAGCTCCCGACCGCGAGGACGTTCAACGTGGTCAACGATAACGCTCTGAAAGTCCATATGAAGCTCTACTGCGCTGCTTTTCTCTCCGCTAATGAGGGGCCACGTCTGAAAGGGGCAATATCCCACACCGCCTGGGCCTCCGGACGAGAGAGAAAGAGAGAGAGGCAGAGACACAGGCAGAGGGAGAAGCAGGCTCCATGCCGTGAGCCCGATGCGGGACTTGATCCCGGGACTCCAGGATTGCACCTGGGGCCGAAGGCAGGCACCAAACCACTGCGCCACCCAGGGATCCCCTAACACTTAATTTTTAAATCAGCATTTATGGCTCTACGTTGGAAGAACTACAGTCCCTGAAATGTCCGAATCTCTATCCCCAGGACCTGTCGATATGTTACCCTCTACAGCAAAAGGGACTTTGCAGGTGTGATTAAGTGAAGGGCTTTAGAGACAGGAATTTATCCCAAATGGTCCAGGTAGGACTGATGCAATGGCAAGGGGCTTTATAGGCAAAAGAGGGAGTCTGGAGAGTCAGTGAGAGAAGGAGACGCGGGGATGGGAGCAGCCGCTGGCTGGAAGAGCCACGGAACGCAGACAGCCTCCCGCAGACGGAGAAGCCGTCGGACCGAGTCTTCTCTCCGGCCTCCGCTAGGAGCACAGACCTTCACTACCCGGAGTTCAGTCCACTGTGACCTACAAAACTGTAAAATAATACATTTCTGTTTTGCTAGGCCGCTAGTGTGTGGTGACTTGTTGTAGCATCAGTAGGAAACGAGTTCAGGCCCAACTCCCTTCTTCTGTGGTTTCTGCGTTGCTGCTTCTTGTCAGCAGGTCGTCTCATTTTCCTGAGTCCAAAATCATAAAGGTTTGGGTAGGATTTCTTTAGATCCCAAAGCGTGCTGACTCATAAATTAGGCCCCTGCCTGGGGCCATGCTTTCTTGCCAGTTCCCTCCCCCATCTCACATGAGCCTGCCCTATCAATCCCACATGCATAGTTTCAAGTCATAAAAGGAATTCTCTATGATAATTTTTAAAATGGCATGTTATACTTTTGTTCACTTTGTGTAGTTTCAGGGGTGGTTTGTAATACTTTCCAGTCCCTACTAAATGATAAAATTGAGGCCAGAAGGCCAGATCTGTAGATAAATGTGAATTACGCCAGCATGATTCTTAACATGACTTTTTTTCCAGAATTCCCTTCTAGTAAGTGAATTCTTTCATCATCAAGAGAATGTCACATAAACATAAACTCTCTTGATGATGAAAGAACTCATTTACTAGAGTAATACATGGGGCATATGGCAGTAATTTTTTTTTTTTTTTACCATCATTAGTTGCTGAAATCTTGTTTGATCCTAAACAGGGAGAATTGATTGTTGTTGTTTGCTTCTTTTAGATATTTTAGACAGATTTTTACTTTGCAAATTCTTTTTTTTTTTTTAAATTCAAGTGCACTTAACACACGGTGTTATATTAGTGTCAGGTGTACAGTGCAGTGACTCAGCGATTCTATGCATTACTCAGTGCTCATCAGGAGAGCCCTGCTGAAGCCCCATCACCCAACCCCACCCACCCTCCCACCCTCCCACCAGCCACCCCTCTGGGGACCATGTTTATTCTCCATAATGAAGAGTCTGTTTCTTGCTTTGTCTTTTTTTCCCCTTTGTCCATTTGTTTCTCACGCTCCACTTATCAGTGAGACCATATGGTACTTGTCTTCCTCTGACTTATCTTCCTTAGCATAATTAATACTCTCCAGCTCCAACCATGTTGTTGCAAATGGCAATTCATTCTTTTTTATGGTTGAGTAATATTCCACATATCAGGCCTTCTTCAGCCATTCACCCATCGGCGGGCACTCGGGTTGCTTCCGTATCTTGGCCGTTGCAAACAATGCTGCGGTAAACACGGGAGCGCATATATCCTTTTGAATTAGGGGTTTCGTATTCTTGGGTAAATAACCAGTAGCGGAGTTACTGGATCACAGGGTGGTGCTAGTTTTAATTTTTTAGGAATGTCCATTCCAGTTTTCTTTTTATTGGTTTTAGTGATGGCAGACAAGAGACAAGAGAAATACTAGTCATTTCTGCCACAGGCACTTTGCAAAAAATTTCAGCTCACCTCCCCCCCTCCCCGTGGTGGGCAGGCTGTGCGGGTGCTTCAGGGGTCTCCGTTATGCTTCTAACCCTTCTGGAAGAAGCCCACTCAGTGTGCTATCATTTCCAGGACGATCTCTGCCTCAGGGGTTCTTGGTTCCTCCACTGCTCCTGCCTGGGGTGGGAGAATGAGTCACGTGGGAAGTGGAAACTTCCTGACCCCTCCAGCTAGAGTTCATAGGTCTAGTCACAAAACGGTAACTATTCTCTCTCTGGTCTAAAGAAAACAATAGGTCTGTGCTCAGACTGCTACTTTTTTTGCATCTCCTTGGCTCCCAACTCAGAGTCCAGGCTGGGAGTAGACAACTTTCCAGAACTCTCCTCAAGCACACCATGCTGATTAGCTTTAGTTATTTTCTACTGTTAGAGTAGGGTTGCAGTATGGGAGGGGTGCCCTCTACGAGTCCTGGTGCCAGAAAATAAGTCCTTTCGATTTCTTAATACCTGGCCTTGTACCTGGAGCATCCCCCCCATCACTGTAGGGGTCACAGCTGTGAGCCACCTGCCCCATCCCCCACCTCCAAACTCCCCTCCTCTCTGATACCTGGTGCTAGGGAAGGGTGGTCCGGTTGCTGTCCAGGGGCCGGCACAGGTGTGTATACAATTCTGGCACCGACAGTGTGCTCACGATCCCCGTGTTAGATTTCTACCATTATGCTCCAGTCTGGATTCTGCGGGGGAAAACTTACGGCCACGTAGTTGACTTCCATTCAGTATTTTTATCTAAATAGGACTGTCTTATACCCATTTTTAGCTAGATTTTATATGAATTAATATCTGAATCATACCCAACACCAGCTGGAGTTGGCTTTTCCTGAAGAAGACAAAGCATCAGGTTTTTTTTTTTTGTTTTGTTTTAGTTATGAAAATGCCAGCTTGAGCAATTAACTGGCTGGTGTCCTAATTGTCCTAATGTGTGACTCAGAGAGGCCATATGGCTCACTGATCAACGTGTGGGTGTTCAGAAGCGGAGGAGAAAAGAATCCGGAGGCGCACAGTTAGTCACTCAAGTCTACCTACCGTTCGTGTCAGAAGCGTGTTAGTTGCCCAGTGAAGATTTGGAGGAGCAGCTGCCGGGGGACGCGAGCAGCAGCGATGTGCCCCTGAGCTGGTCTTGCAAAGCCTTCCTGTTGTAGGAAGATGAAAATGTTCTTGGAGTCTAAATTACGTGCATTAAGGAATCAGAGGGAGCATGGGGTTCTGTGCCTGAAAAAATAAAGCCAATTAAAAATAATGATCATCCTCTTGGAAGCTCAAAATGGAATATATATATATATATATATATATATATATATATATATATATAAATCTTGCCCTCACTTGTTCCTGCCTTGAGGAGCAGCTGCCCCCGAGCTGCCATCCGCTCGGAACTTGCCTCGACGGTGCGGGATAGACCCGGCTTGGGATCCTACGGCTGCTTTGTGTTTTCAAAGCTTTCTGTCTGGTGACAGCCACGAACATCTCTCTTCTTTGGAGGAATTCAAGTAATTTTCCAGACGTTCATTCACGATTTCATTTAAAAGACTTAATTTAAAAAAATAAGGGTGTAGAACAGGGGTTAAAAAGTGGAGTTATTTTATTTGGTTCTCACAGGATCTTTAAGAAATTTCACATAAAATTGCAGATTTCCCCCCGGCTGCTACCAGCTGGAGGTAAGTGGCAACTGCCAGCCCGAGACAGGGCCTCATGCACCCTTCAGTTGCCCACGGACTCGCCCTGGGCTGGCCTCTCTCTGTCACCAGCTGCCTGGTCCTCTGCCTGAGCCCGACCTGCATAACCAGCTCACACTATGGGGAAACTGAGGCTTAGAGTACTCCGCGAGGCAACACAACGGAAGTCCCGGAGGACTCAACTTTGAGTGTGAGACTAGGAGAGGACCCGAAGTGGGGAATAGTGTTCAAAGGCAACCATATGGTTTCTCCAAGCGCAGTGATGTGCGGCGGGGGGCAAAGAAAGGAAAGCGATGGAGACAGAGATGGATGAAGACCTGGGGGGGGGGGGCGGCTCCCGGGGAAGCCTTGTGGGCGCCTGGTGGCAGGCCCACCCACCCTGGAGCTCGGCAGCTCGTCCCGGTCCGATCGCGGCCCTGGCCCAGCACCAGCTTCTGCACCAGCTGGAGAAGGCCCCGCCTGCAGGGCTGGCTTCGGGGAGCATGTCCACCGTCTCCCCTGAATTCTAAGAACGCCATTTCCTTGCACGAAGCCACCACAGCTTTGGACCTGGCCCACCACGAGCTGCTCTTCCAGAGTGGCTCTGCGTCCTGCTCGCCTGCCCTTGCGGCCGGGGCTAGAGACCTGCCTGGGTGCTGGGCTGCCGCGAGCATGGCCCTGGCCCTTGCAGGCCCCATGTTCCTTCCTGGATTCAGTGTTGTGAACAAATGGGTTTCCTCTGAGAATCCGTTTTCTCATGTTGTTGCTGTTTTTTTAAGCATTGCAAACGTTATAAAGGTGACGCCACATCTGACTTCTCTGCACTGTGGGCTGAAGGCCAGAATCACACACGTGGGCAGGCTCCCGCAGGTACAGCACGCACCCAGGAATGGGGCACACCTGGATACTTCATTCTGTTTGTTTTTTTCTTAATTTTCTTGCTCTTAATTTTCCTTTGATCTTTATCTTGACCATTTATTAATTTTAAGTGTTTTTTAAAATGTCTTGCTGCTATCAGATATTACACAGACAGAATGAATAACCGAGGTGGGTATTCCAGAAGGCACGGAGTATCTGCGGTGAAACTGGCTCGGGTAAAGGGAAACGGAACAACAAAACCCCATGCTTATGGGCACTAGTTGATTACAACATAAAATTGAACATTTTAACCACACAGTGCTTGCCCATTCATTTAAAATTCTATTTAATTTTATCTTTGTTCATTTTCCCCAGGTCTCTGGTGTAAATTCCTAGCTCCATGAAGATTTATGGCTTATTTGATAAAATGGAGGGGGGTCTCTAGTTGGTTCCTCTCACTACCACAGTTACTCATCTGGTGTGGGAGACGTGCTGGGGGCCGTGAGAGGGTTCTCCCCCCGCCTCCATCCCAGGGACCCTACCTCCATGTAGGCTCTGGTCATCCTCCGTGAAGATCCTGGCCTTCTTCAATCTCAGGACCTCCTGCAAACCATGTAGGGTCTTAGGTTATATGAAGTGCAGGGAGTTCCAGTGTCGGGTTTTCCACGTTGCCCTTTGTCAATGACTTTTTCCTGGGATATGCCAAGATTCATATCCAGGTCCCGTTGGAATATTTTCCTCCCAATTTATCTCCCAAGTGAAAATCTACCAGCCTCACTTCCTTTTCTAGAACATTTCTGAATTCTTACCGTGTTGTTGGGAAAGAAGGAGGGGTACGGATGTTAACGGTGTGTCTGTGTGTCTATACAGGAAAGGGGATAACCGAGATGAAGACAACTAAGGGCGTGGCACGAACAAAACATCCCTGAGTGCGCAGAGAGGGACCTTGCATCCCACCGTTCTCCGCACTGCAGGACATGAGACGGCGCTGGCTCAGAGGCACCTTGTTTGGGTTTGGGAAGGGAGGGTGGCTCGGTATGGGAATGGCTGTGGGGCAATGCAAGGAAAAGGCGCTGTGCAGCTTACACACCGGGCATATAAGGCAAGTCTGGCGTTTGCAACTCGTGGAGCTTCTTTTCTGTTTGGTGACAACGGCTTGCATAGGGCAGCCCAACCGGGGAAAAACTGAAGCGTGTGATAAGTTACGAAGTCGCATATTAAAAGCAGTAACTGCAAGAAATGGGGTGCACCCACAGCTCTAAATTCAACCCGTAACCAATTAATGAGAGACTTTCTTGGAGAGCACTTAGTTTTGCTTTAGGGGCCCTTCCTAAAGTGTAGTGAAAATGCTCATATTTGGTGACTGGAGTTTCATGGATTTAATAATTTTTATAGTCACAACCATGTCTTACGAGGCCTTCTTTCAATACCTGCTATTTTTTTCTAAAAGTATCAATGTCACTTATTTTCTAAAGAGTTTTAAAATCCTGTCTGTTAAGTTTCTCCAGCTTTGGAGTTGCATGACTAAACCCAGAACCTAATGAGAGGTTCTGGGTCTGGACTAGTTAACACTATTGTAGTTGAGTATGAATTTCCATGGTTGCAGCAGCTCATAAAGTTCAGATAACTTAAACAGGGCAATTCAAGAGACCTGGTAACCTGACATCCAAAATTCCAGTTTCTTTTAGGTAAATACTTAATCATGTAGGATATTCCCTGTTCCTCTTTTTGTGTCTCCAGGGCTGAGGAGGTTCTGGTGTGAACCTCGTCTTCAGCCTCTGCAGGTGTCTGCTGGGGCTCAGCTGGACCTGCCTGGAGTCTGAAGTCTGCCTCCACTCCCATAGTATCCACCGACGAAGGTGCCCCTCACGGTTTCTAATCAGCAAGTACTTTACTCAGCATCTCTGCCAACAACACGCAGCCCGTTTAAATTCCCCAGATGCTCGTAACCAACCTCCACACCTCTCTCCACTAAACGTGGGTAAGCATATGGCTGCTCTTGCACTCTATTCTGAGGCTGGGAGAGATGGAGAGGAGGGTGGCTGGAGGGTGGGACGGGCCACTGCAGAAATGCCTCTGGCAGCACTTAACCTTGTGAAGATAAAGGAAACCTTGTGGGGTGCCTGGGTGGCTCAGTCGGTTGAGCGTCTGCCTTCGGCTCAGGTCATGATCTCAGGGTCCTGGGATCGAGTCCTACATTGGGCTCCCTGCTCGGTGGAAGGGAGGACTCTGCTTCTCCCTCTGTCTCTGCCCCTCCCCCATGCCCATACTCCCTCTCCCATAAATAAAATCTGAAAAAAAGAAAAGAAGTCTTCTATAAAATAAAGTCAGGAGGCCAGAAGGGGAGCCTGTATGCCCTACCACCTGTTGACAACTGCAAATGCAACAGGAAGACTCACACCTTGCCAAGTCCATGCTATGTTAGTGGGAGGAAGGAGGTTTTCTTCTTGCCCAGTAACAACCCAGCCAATGAAAAGCCACCACACTTCAAACTCCCGGTTTACTCCAGTGTACTTGTTTGTAACAGCCCCTCCCGATTCCCCCTCTCCTCTCCTTTGTTCTCTGAACTTGCCTATAGTTCTGCTATAGCTTCCACGTTCTGAGTTACAATTCTCTGCTATTCGTGAATACCCCCCCCCTTTTTTTGCTTGCAAAATAACTGGCAGTTTTATTTTTAAAGTTAACACTCCGTACATATTTTTCTACTCTCCTCGCTACCCTGCGATGAAAGATGCCCTCGGAGGATTTCTTGTCTGGGTTCCAGTTTTCAAGTTAGGAGCTAGCCCTCCCCACTCTCAGATGTCTGTGTTTTCTAGGAGGATGGTCTCTACCAATTCCCCAAAGGTTCTGATATGTGGAGGGGCAACTGTGAGAATCCTTTTTTCAAGATCCTGCACCAGCCATACACTCTCTAAATTTTCTTCAACACCCTCAAACCCAGCTCAGAACAAGTTCTCATTGCCTCTGTGTGGTGGAGATATGGCTTACCCATCATCACATGTTTTTCCTCCTTGTTTTATGTTATAAACTCTATGCATTTAGTGCTCCAGGATTTCCCTTTGAAGAGCTAATTTTTTTTTTTCTGTTTCAATACCATTATATCTTCCCCTCTCAAGAGCTTAGTTTGAAATTCAAAGTGAAGAATTTGACTTGCTGAATTCGGCTCTTGCTGGATTCTTCAGCACCTTTCTCTTTCTAGGATAAAAGCCTTTAGCCTAAAGATCTAATTTTAATGGTGAAGATGTAGGGTAAAAAGGAAATGCCAAGAAGTAAGAATACATTTGTCAATATTTTAAAATATTTTACAGCTACTTATATGATACGAACTGAATGACTTAGGTGGTCTAGTATAAAATTTTGCTCTTTGGGGAGGAGCTGGAAAGAATCTAGGCACATTTCTAAAGATATTAACCTCAAATAGCTTTTGAAATTTACCATAAGAAGCAGATTTTTCTCTCCCTCCTGGGCTGTGAAAATATTCCCTATGTCAACCCCTTCTTTTCCACGATCCTCCATAACATGGGAGGGTTAGCTGGCAAAATTCCATAGAGTAAGCAAGACTTACTGCCGTTTAAGAGCTTCAAACTATCTCCTCGGGGAAAGACAAAAATCACTGTGGCTAAAAATGTCAAGTCTGGGATTTTAAAGTTCTATGGGAGAAACTGTGGGGAATGTTAGTCTCTTGGTGGTGGAATAGGTTGGATCACTGGATCCAACTGGAATGTCTTTTTCCCAGCTTGTTAATTTCTGTGATTCAAGGAAAACAGACCTTAAAAGGAATGGAGAAAGTACGATTTCTAGAGAACAAAAGTGAACGCTAATTACTTCAATATTTTGAAAAGTGTTTTTTACGGATTTTTTTTAAAAAGATTTATCTATTTATTTGTTCGTGATAGAGAGAGAGAGAGAGAGAGCCAGAGACACAGGCAGAGGGAGAAGCAGGCTCCATGCCGGGAGCCCGACGCGCGACTCGATCCCGGGACTCCAGGATTGCGCCCTGGGCCAAAGGCAGGCGCTAAACCGCTGAGACACCCAGGGATCCCCTGGTTTTACAGATTTTTAATAAAATTTAAAAATGATGATATATCACATTCAAAAAGAACCAATTAAGTGCTTGTATTATCATGTGTTTAAGCCCCTAATTATTGAGAAAAGGACAAAATTTCCAGATTTCTGAGTTCACCATAGTAAACTTCTCTTCCATGATATTCACAGAATGCTCCTGATAAATGCAGTGCAAATGGAGATGTTTTATTCCCAACGTGGACTGTCGAAATGAAACTCACTTATGTTGAGTCTCTCACCACACCAGGTAAATGCCCCACAGAAAAATGACTCCTGAGTAACTGGTGTACATATGTATTATGTTTGCATGTGTAAGAACACGTATGTATATGCATGATTTTACACTGGACATTGAAAGGTATTTTTTTACCCACTAGAGAGAGTTTGATATTTTAATCCCCCGAATGAGAATTTTACATCATGGAGAAGTGGTTAAGAGTGTGGGTGCTGGAATCTGATTGCCTGGGTTAAAGCCACTTAATTAGCTATTGAACCTTTTTGTTTAGCAGTAGCCTCTTGTCTAAGAAGGGAGCAATGACTGCACCTGCCCCTGAGGTGGTTGAGGGGATTAAGTGAATTAGAACACGGCATTGTATAAAGTACAAAATAAATGTGAACTTCCAGTAACATTACTAGTCTGTGCAAGGCCCGTGCTAACCGCTTTGGGGGATAAAAGAGACACAGTCTTTATGCTTACACGGTTTACTGCTTAGTAGGGAACTCAAGCTGTATTGTCTTGTATGCGGTTAAATATTAATACCTGAGAAGAATATCAACAGTTCAGTTCAACTGCATGGACCTGCCTCTTAAATACAGAAGCCATGTGGGCTGGGTGACCCGGACCAGAGGAGGAGCTTTACATCAAGTGTTAGTCTCACATTGGTTTCCCTTCACCTGATGCTTATCGCTTTGCCATGATGAAAACAGGTTCAAGGCATAATAAACAGCGTTTCCAGGGGCCTGGTCTAAATTAACCTTCAGGGGTTTAACCACGGGTGAGCAGTAAATGACGCAGCTGCTGATGCAGGAATAAGGCTCCTGATAACGGAGGTTGGGAGAGCGGGGAGCGCTCTGAGAAGCGGGCCGGCCCACCAGTTTCTGCAGTTTGCAGGGGGGACAGTGACTGCTTCAGCTGATTTTTATGTTTGTTTGTTTTCCTGAGATCTACAGACAATTCCAGACTGTGGTTATCCAGTTTAAGAGGGAATTCTGTACAAGGACTGGCATGAAACTGCATGTCTAATTGCCAGATAAATATTACAGTTAGCCACTTCTCTGTGAGATCAAGGACAGGACTACTTCCCGTGGTCTGGGGTGTGCATGGAATGGGAGAAGGTGATGACGGAAGGGCCTTCCGGGCACCCTGGTGGTTCAGTCGGTTAAGCACCTGCCTTTGGCTCATTCTGAAATTCAGAATATCCCTGAATGAAAGTTCACATTTATTTTGTGATCTTTCACAAAATGTGATCTCGGGGTCCTGGGATGAGCCCTGCGATAGGCCCGCTGCTCAGCGGGGAGCCTGCTTCTCCCTCTCCCACACCCCCTGTTTATGCTCTCTCTCTCTCTGTCAAATAAAGGAATAAAACCTTAAAGGAAAAGTCCTTCAACAAGAATTTAAGGTAATCTTTGGATTAATCCCTTTTAAATCAAATATTAATTTCCCTAATCTATTTTTTTATAAAGAGGAACCCCTTTATTTATTTATAATTTTATGTAGGGCCCAAGCCCAATGTGGGGTCCGAACTCATGACTTTGACATCAAGAGTCACATGCTCTACCAACTGGGCCAGCAAGGTACATCATCCCCTGACTTAATTTTTAAATGTATCAATCTAGATTTTTCCCCACCTACTGTCCCTGACTGGCGCTCATACCAAAAGATGATTCTCAGCCTAAAAAATGAGTTTAATAAGTTTTCATTTGTTGATCTGAGCATATAACCTTCATCTATAAAATTGTTTCTGGGGGGAGACAGGGGTATTCTGAATTTCAGACAATTTATAAACCCATTTTTTTCAAACACTATTTTGGTTGGTTCTTGTCGTTAGCATCAGACACTGTTGCAGGCCTGTATGAACCAAAGAAAGATACCTACCCTTGTGGAAGGGACATTCTGCAGAGGAGAGACAAACAATACACGGGATAAATAACTGGTATAGGTGCTGGAAAGGCAGTAAGTGCTAAGGAATAAAGAAAAAGTAGTCCAGGGTAAGATGGATGGGGTGGGTGACAATTTTAAAGAGGACAGTCATTGAGAAGGGACCTTCGAGCAACGTGTGAAGGGAGCCAGCCAAGATGACCAAGTATCATGGGGGAAGAGCACTTAAGGCGCAAGGAAGAGCCAATGCAAAGGTCCTGACGCAGGAGCTTACCAGGGAGTCTGAAGAGAAGCAAAGAGGCCAGGGTACCTGGAAGGAGTGGGAGAGACAAGAAGATGAGGTCAGAGAGGTGAGCTGGGTAATGGGAGGAGGGAACGTGCTAGATCATATGGAGCCTTGCGGGGCCCTGAGGCTTTGAAAGTCAGAGGTCACTTGCACGGGGCTGCCCCAAAGCGAGGCCGGCTGGGGTCAACAGGATCTCTCTTTCCCCTGTCTCCTATATTTCAACTTTTTATTTTTAATTTTTTATATTTCAACTTTAATGTGGATACCAATACACCGAGCCCTCGTTTAAGATTCGAATTCTGATTTAGCAGGTCTGGGGCGGGGCCCGAAATTCTCCGCTTTTAACAAGCTTGTGGGTGATGCCAGGCTGCCCGTCTCCAAGGCCACACTGACAAGAGTAAAGAGGTGCTGGGGATCCCTGGGGGGCTCAGTGGTTTGGCGCCTGCCTTTGGCCCAGGGCGCGATCCTGGAGTCCCGGGATCGAGTCCCACGTCGGGCTCCCAGCATGGAGCCTGCTTCTCCCTCTGCCTGTGTCTCTGCCTCTCTCTCTCTATCACAAATAAAATAATAATAAAAAAAGAAGAGTAAAGAGGTGCCGGGTTCCCAGGGGCTCTGGAACTTATCTCTCCGTCAGCTGCGTGCCAGGGCCTTCTCGTTCTTGGTGAGCCTGTGGGGTCTTTGTTGGCTCTCCTACTGCTCTTGGTCTCACCAGGGATCTCACGACGTCAAGGTCCTGCCGATTGGCCAGGGAGACCAGGGTCTAGAAGTCAGTCTGGGAACGAGAGAGGTCGCCCGGCTGTTCCCATGCAGGGTCTAGGAAGCTTCTAGGGCCTCCCCCCTGCCGCTCTGCAGGCTCTGACCGTTCCTGTCCTACTGGATTACAGGACTTCCGAGGGGGCCCGGCCCCTGGGGTCCTCTGCCTTGAGTTGAGGGCCTAGGGGCGAGGCAGCAGGGTGTGCGCCAGGCACAAGGGAGGATGCCCTGCTAATGCCTACTCTACAGGCAAAGCTCCATCCTCCGGAGCTAGAGCCGCAGGGACAGGCCTGGGCCCAGCCACTTCCGAGGGACAGCAGGGCTGCGCGCCCCCGAGGCCCGGGTTCCAGCTGCGCCTTCATCCCGCACTGCGCGGCCTCAGGGTCGTCCTTGGGGCGAAAAGGGAGCCCCTGCGACCGACGGGGCGATGCTCAGCGCAGGTACCAGGCGCTGCCCCGTCCCCAGGCACCGGCACGGGCGCAGCCAGGGCTTCCCGCGACGCCCCGGGTCGGCCGCTCCGCCAGCCCGCAAGTGCCACGGCAGGTCGTGGACGGGGCTGGGTGCTCGGCTGAGGAGGAGCACGGGTGCTCCTGCAGACCGGCCGCCGCCCCGCCACCCGCAGCGCGGCAGGGGGCGCCGGCGACCACAGGGCCGGCGGGGCGGGGGCGGGCCGGGGGCGGGCCGGGGTCGGGCCAGGGTCAGGCCAAGGTCGGGGTCGGGGTCGCGGTCAGGGCGGGTCGGGGCGCGGTCTCCCGGGGGCGGGGGCGGGCCGAGGTCACTTTCGGGCCGGGGGCAGGGTCGGCCGGGGGCGGGGTCGCGGTCGCGATCGGGTCGGGCTGGGGTCAGGCCTGGGTCGGGGTCGGGGTCGCGGTCGGGGTCGGGGTCGCGATCGGGTCGGGCCGGGGTCAGGCCTGGGTCGGGGTCGGGGTCGCGGTCGGGCCGGGGTCGGGCTGGGACGGGGTCTGCAGGGGTCGCGGTTGGGGCCTGCCGGGGGGGCGTGGCCTACCGGGGGCGTGGCCTGCCAGAGCGTGGCCTGCAGGAGGCGTGGCCTGCCGGGCGGGGCCTGCCGGGGGCGGGGTCGAGCCCGGGTTGGGCCTGGGTCGGGCCTGGGTCGGGTCGGGGTCGCGGTCGGGCGGGGGCGGGGTTTGCCAGGGACGGGGTCTGCCTGGGTCAAGTTGGGGTCTGCCGGGGGCGTGGCCTGCCGGGGGCGGGTCGGGTCGCGGTCGGGCCTGCCGGGGGCGGGGCCTGCCGGGGGCGGGGCGTCGGCGGTGCGCAGCTGCGGCGCGGGAGCCAATCGGCGCGCAGCGGGCCGTCGCGCGAGCCGGGCGTGCGTTGGTGACGTCACGGTTGCCATGGCGAGGGCCGCGGGCCGGCAGCGCGTCCGGAGAGCCGCGGCGCCAGCATGAGCGGCCGCAGCCGCGGCAGGAGGTCGTCCCGCGCCAAGAGCCGGGGCAAAGGCCGCGGCCGAGGCCGAGTCCGCGCCGCCCCCGCCCCCGCCCCCGCCCCGGAGCTTTCCCGGAGCTGCGGGCCCGGCGAGGACCTCCCGGCGGCGCAGCTGCAGGTGCACGTCCCGGCCGGGCCCGCGGAGGCGGCGGCGGCGGCGGCGGCGGAGGGGGACGGGGAGGGGGAGGGGGAGGCCTGCGCGCTGCCCCTGGACTGCGGCCTCGCGCTGCGGGCCCGGGCGGGGGCGGCGAGGCCGAGGGTCGGTGCGCGCGGCGGCGGCCGGCGAGGGCCCGCGGGAAGGCCGAGGAGGGCGGCGGGGGACGGCGGGGCGGGCGCGGCGGAGGGGGAGGGGGCGGGGGGGTCGGGGGAGGCCGGGGGTGCGGGGGGCGCGGAGGGCCCGGGCGGCCCGGGCCCCGGCGGCCGCATGGACACGCTGGAGACGGTGCAGCTGAAGCTGGAGACCATGAACGCGCAGGCTGACCGGGCCTACCTGCGCCTGTCGCGCAAGTTCGGGCAGCTGCGGCTGCATCACCTGGAGCGCAGGAACCTGCTCATCCAGAGCATCCCGGGCTTCTGGGGCCGCGCCTTCCAGAACCACCCGCAGCTGTCGTCCTTCCTCAACAGCCAGGACCGGGAGGCCCTCGGCTACCTCAACAGCCTGGAGGTGGAGGAGCTCGGCCTGGCCAGGCTGGGCTACAAGATCAAGTTCTACTTCGGCCGCAACCCCTACTTCCAGAACAAGGTGCTCATCAAGGAGTACGGCTGCGGGCCCTCGGGCCAGGTGGTGTCCCGCTCCACCCCCATCCAGTGGCTGCCGGGGCACGACCTGCAGTCCCTGAGCCAGGGGAGCCCAGACAACAGCCGCAGCTTCTTTGGGTGGTTTTCCAACCACAGCTCCATCGAGTCGGACAAGATCGTGGAAATCATCAACGAGGAGCTGTGGCCCAATCCCCTGCAGTACTACCTTATGAGCGAGGGGGCCCGGGCCGAGAAAGGGAAGGAGGGCAGGCCGGGCCCGGCGAGGCCGGCCCCGGAGGCGCCCGAGCTCAGGGCGCCCGAGTCCATCTGACCCTGCCCTAGTGTCCGCACCACCCCCCGTCGGACCTGCGCCTCACTGACCAGGCCGCCCGCCAGCCCGTCCACCGTGTCTTCATGGTGGCCTCCGCACTTGCATCCCCCCCCCCCCCCGGGACTTCAGTTACAAGAATAGGGTATAAGCGACCATGTTCTCTTGCCTCCTCGTGGCCTTCGTGCTTTTTCACATCAGTGCTCGGCGTTAGAGGGTCTCACCCCTACTGTTTATACGTTAGGCACACCCGCCTCAAGTGTGTGCGGCCTTTTGTCCGCATTGCCTGGACCGTGTGCTGGGCCCTGGCCCTTCCCAGCTGTCTGTAACGTGGACACCCAGCCATCCTCCAAGAGGACCAGCGAGTGTGTCCTCAAGCTCTGCTCCTTCAGGGCCGGTGACTCGCTGAGCTCCGTGTTGGCGCTGGCCGTGCACGCCATCTGTGGCAAGTGTCTCTGCTGCTGCCACGGCACAATGCACACAGTGTCGGCCCTCAGCCCAAACTGATTGTTCCAAAGCCGTGGGGTCGTCAGCCTGGTTGCCGCCACCTCCTGGATCTCTGACTTTGGCCTGTGCTGCCCTGCGGGGTCCCCGGCTGCCGGGCATGGAGGAGGCTGAGCGAGAAGCCGTGTGCCGTGTGTTCTGGACCATGTCTCTCCCTGCCTCCGGGCCCTTCTGATGAACATTCGTCAAGGTCTGTTCTGTGCCCCATCTCTGTCTGGCCGTTGAGATCTGTCTGGGTCACTGTCGGCCCCAGTTGGCCTCCGGGTCAACGAGGACCTGAGAACTGCCCGTGGACCCAGGCCCCCTGCCCGTGCATGAGGCACACACCCACCCTCCCCAGCCTTCCAGGAGCCCGGCCTGCAGACTGGGGGGCGGGTGTGTGGACGTGTGCTCGCTGTCATCGTGCTGTGGCTCCAGGTGAGGGTGGGGACCAGACCCACGTACAGCCTGGGGCCCTCTGTTGACTCCACTTGTCCCTTCTGAGCCTGTGACTGGAGACTTACAGTGGGGTTGCTGGCGAAGAGGTTCCTGGTCCCTGGGCCTGTGTCTGCTTCATCTCACACCTCACTTGCGCTTCCTTCACTCCCTCCCTTCCTTCTTTTCTTTCTCCTTTCCTGTCCTCCTCCTTCCTCCACTTCTCCCATCCCTTTTCGGTTCAGTATTGCCACAGCTCAGAAAGAGAAAACAACCGAAAAAACCAGGGCTTTCTGCGTACAGCTAGCGCGACAGCTGGGACCTGGCGTGCACACTTGCACACTGGGCTGACAGAGGGCAGACGAAGCGAGGCCAGGTGGGTCTGTGGGCAGACCTTGGGCCTGAGTCCTGGGTTCACTCTAGTTCTGAGGTTGAAAATTCTTTTCATGCTACACGTGTGCTGGAATTATAAGCCCTAAGGCTGCAGTGCTGTGGACTAGGGTTCCCTGTTCCACCTTTTTTTTTTTTTTTTTTTGCCCTTAAGATCCAGTTGCCTCCTACTGTTTCCTCTCCTGTGGCGGAGGCCGCCTGGCCTTCACTTTCCAGCTTTCTCCTCTCAGCAGTCCTTTGCTGTGTTTGCTTCTACCTTCAGGTCCCCTTAGGAGCAGGCTTTGGTCCGGGGGCATGGGGACAGGGCTTGCAGAGTCTGTCATGTATCACAAGGCTCATCACCAGGCTCATTTCCAGGGAGCGCAAGAGCTGAGCTGGCCCTCTTTCTCCTTCGCATCCCTAGAGGTGGGGCGTAGGACTGTAAGCACGCTTCCCCGCCCCCTAGCCTCCCTCTCCTCAGGGGAGACCTTGTGCTGAGTTCCCCAAGGGCGGGGGAGGCCTTGCCTCAAGTCTGCAGTGGAGGGTCCTGGAGAGGCAGATAGAAACCTTGAGGAGCCTCCGGGAGAGGAGG